TCTCTCTCTCTCTCTCTCTCTCTCTCTCTCTCTCTCTCTCTCTCTCTCTCTCTATATATATATATATATATATATATATATGTGGGGGGGGGGGGTGCATCTGTAATTAGAAAAGGCATGAACGAGAATGGCTATCTTCAAAATACAAGAGATGTATTTGACCAGTTTCAATTATATCTCCGTCAGATATACGTGTAATTCTGACGAAGATATAATAAAAAATGGTCAAATACATATCTTGTATTGTGAAGATATTCATTCTCACTTATATCTTTTCTATATTTGTCAACATGAATACGGTTCATTGTGAGTGTGTTCGTGTGTGTATGAACACATGCCTCAAGGCATGTGATCGATGTGGGCATAGATTTTTTTCTTATTCAGGACATTTCAATACTTTTCAACTTCTTGTTTCCATTTTCCATACAATGGATAGGAAATAATACCCTTTATATTATTTATATGGCATGGCATACAAGTTGCACATTCAGGCTTCACCTGATTGGTGCTTATGTGAGTGTGTGCATATGAGCAGCACTTTCCGGTGGGGTCAGGTGAGTATAAATAAAGAGGTTATTGACCCCAGGCCCAATTAGCCATGGATCCAGCGCCCAGCACTTCTTTGGGCATTACCCACCGTCAACCTCACCCCTCCGCCCTTCCACCAGGCAGATGACGCCACCAACTCCTTGGCATTCTTCATTTGGAGATGATGATTCCAACAATGGTTTACCTGTTCCAAGGAAGCAGTTGGAACAATTGCCAAAGTGACAACAGAATGATTTGCTTGGTTTGATTTCTTTGGACAAAGAGATCGACTATGTTCTCACTTCCTCCCAAAACGCTCTTGGCCAGCCAGGGTTCCATTTGAGTTGTAGGGAGAACGTCCCCAGGAGGCATGGTTCTGCCCAACGTCTTCAGGCAAATGTTAGCCTATATGATGACATGGCCACGCACGAGTTTGACATGGCATTTTTTCCAAAGGTTTGCTTGAAGAAATAATCCGGCAGACTATTGAATATGCCATGGCCCACCCACCTTGAGATGGTGCCCATAAGAGGAAATGGACACCTCTGACTTTGCCAGAGCTGCAGCCTAGCTTTCATTTACTCTTTATCAGTGTGATTATTTTTAGAAAGGTATTATGTAAAACAACTGAAGTTTTTGCAAGCTTAGCAATACAGGAGTTCCTGGGCCTGTGGTACCTAATGGGTAAATGCCACAAACCTCAACAGACTATGTGCTGGTCTGTTGACAAGGTAATAGTTACACCCTATTATGAAAAGACAATGCCAATAGATCAGTACGATCAGATCTCTTCAGTGCTACATTTCATAGACAATATGAGCGATCACAACAAAGAAGGCAGACTGTGGAAGCTGTGTCCTGCTATAAAACACCTGCAGGAGAAATTTGCTACTGCCTTCACCACGGCACAAATTACTGTGGTTGAGAGCCTGTGGAAATTTAGGTATCCAGTATTTTTTTCATATTGTGATTTGTATTTTGATCTATACTATATAGTTGTGACCTCTTTTTGAAAGACATTGTTTACTAACACAATTTTCTTTTACACTACAGAGGCCAGCTCAGTTTTGTACAAGACAAAACAGGCAAGATTTGGTCTAAAAGTCTACAAGCTGTGTGTGTCTGTCAGGGTTGCTGCAGGTTACACCTGTATTTTCCACCTGTATACCGGAAAAGACATGGGATATGCCTGCTTCTCAGAAGGTTGTAATTAGCCTTATGGAGGCAGCAAATTGAATTGTACCTTGATAATTGGTACATTTCCCTTATCCTCTTTCACTTATTGATGGCCTACAAGACAAACATTGTAAGAACCATACATCCAAATCGTGAATTTATGCCTTTGGATTTTCCTCTGAAGCTGAGGAGATATGAGGTGTCCAGCAAAAACACAACTACCGGCCTCATGTGCCTTAAATGGGAGGACAAGCAGACATGAGATATACTGTCTACAGTACATAATAGCACAGTGGTAGAAACCGGGAGAGTGACCCAGGGTGGGGCCATTGAGATAGAGACAGTGATGTGTTGGACTATAAGATCAGTATGAAAGAGGCTGACATGGAAGATCAACTCTCCCAGTCATACCCCACGGCATGAAAAGGCTTCAAGTGGTATAAGAAGGTATTCTTTTACCTTCTGGAAATGACTACAGAACATGCTTTTCTCCTTCAAAAGTTTGTTGGGGGGTCATTTCAGAAACAGTATAACTTCAGCATTGCATTAGCAAAGGGGCTCCTGAGGGAATAACTTCAGGTACGTCCCTATACTATTAGCCGCCTAGTCCATCGTAGCCACAAAGAAATTTCATGCATGGTTAGCCACCAACATTTCCCAAAGAAGTTGGAAAAATACCACTGCTGCCACGTGTGCTACAGTAGGGTATAGAACTCATTCAAAGCATGTGATACTGCCTACCCCATGAAGAAGTGCTGAGGTACTTCACTGTAAAAAAAAAAACATATGTAACATA